GTTGTGGTGCTCTGCCTGGGATAGAGATGGAGATGGAGGATGAAGGTGGAGCAAGATGACACAGCGCAGCTCCCAAGCAAGACTCCAACGCACGTACTCCAAACTGTGCGAATGTAGAATAATCCCAAGTGCAGACTCTGGTTGGGTTATACCCCAGCGGACTGACTGAACTGGACTGAACTGGCTGGTACCGACAGAGATACCGACCTGGACTGGACTACCCCGAATACAACACAGGCCTATGAGAATAGGCCAAGGGGCTGGTCTCATAGGCCAACCAGAGGTCCGCTACAATGACTGCATATAAAAACTTTCATACGTGGGTTAGTAGCTCGGCAGGGATACACCCCTAAGCATGGTGACAACCCCTAAGGAATGTAAGGTGTGCCTCGCGGGAACCTATCCTGTTGTAAGGGACCGCGGGAAGTACAACTCCCGCACCCGGTTAGAGCAGCGAAGAGACGGCGAGACCACGTCCATCTCGGTGGTTGGCAGGACTATTTGTGCATTGTCTTCAAGTTTTCTCTCATTTTGTTTTGTTTAGCTCCTGCGTGACATGGTCGGGAAGACTTTTTTTTGCAAATTTCAAAAAAGTCGGAGCCGATGCGCTCGACATCGGGATTGTGCATCATTTATAAAAATCCAGAGACCTAAATCAACTAAAATAAAAGTTCTTCACTCTCAACAACATTTGAATGTCTGTGAAGAAGTCTATTCTCTATCATATCAACACAAAACAATCTTAAAGTTATGTCACTAGGGAAGGAAGACTAATTAAAATCAACGACTCTACAACAACAAATACCTAGATGAAATAGACATCCGATCCTTAAAAGTCATCAAAGTCACTACTAAAGGGGGGGGGGAAAGAAAAAAAAAGTGATCTACTAATGTCATGGTAGTCATGCATTCATCTCCCTAATGATTAGCTTGGTATTCCTTTTGCTTCCTTACAATTAACCCTGGCACCCTCGATCCATATTTCCAATTTTGCACCCACCAACACTACTCAATGTGGTAAGACTCATAACCTATCATGCCAAGCGTCATTTATCTGGATGAAATAAACATGAGATCCAATAAAAATCATCAAATTCACTACTAAAGCAAAGAAAAAAAGAAAAAAAAACGATCCTCTAATGTTATGCATTCATCTCCTTAATGATTATCTCGGTTTTCCTTTTGCTTCCTCACAATTGATCTTGGCACCCTCCATCCATATTTGTTATTTTGCACCCACCAACAGTAGTCAATGTGGTAGGACTCATAACCTATCGTGTCAACCGTCATTTATCTACTCACATAATTATATGGCATTCTATCTATATGTTATATCTTGCAACCTCAACCACCAATCAACATGGTTGGAGGCATGATATGTCAAGCTTCAATAGCATAAGACACAGTAAATGGCCTTGAGATCCGAACATGCACCACCACACCGGAACACAGAGAATGGGAAGAAGGAGATAGAAGATAAGGAAGATAGAGGAAGAGAGAGAGAGAGAGAAAAGCAAACCAAACCAAGGAGTAAACGAGTGTCCCGAACGCGACTTGTTATAACGAAAGAATGGACATGAGGCACAGATTCGGACAAAAAATCATCCGACCGGCGTTAAGACCCGACCGGTTTCGCCTGGCCGCCAACCAGGACTCATCAGGGGTTTAAGTCACTTGGAGGACACTAACCTAAGACCTACTTATATACGACCAGACCCTGAGAAAACAACCGACCGCGCTCTGCACAAAGCAAGCGTCATCCGAACACTAGCCACGATCCGAAATTTTTAACGATCCTTCAACAGTTCGAACCTTCGTAAAAAAGGAAAAAAGGGAACACTAAAAAGAAAACAGGTCAACGGTACGAACCCCGAGAACACCCTAAAAAAGAACTACGTAGAGCATGAAAAAATAGAGTCCACCACAGTACCATGCGAGTCCGGCCACAGAGAGAACCAAGTACCAAAAAGGACCCCACAGGTCAACGGTACGAGCCCCGAGAATCGTCAACATCAGTAACCTAAGGGAAAAGGAGAAGAATAAAAAGGACACAGGTCATCGGTACGAACCCCGAGAACACCCTAAAAAAAGAACTACATAGATCATAAAAAAACAGAGTCTACAGCAGTACCCTGTGAGTCCGGTCACAAAAAGGACCAGAAAGGACCCCACAGAGGATCGAGGATTGTCAACAACAGCAACCTAAAGGACTATGAAGGACCGAATAGACCTTTACGCATAGAAAACCCAAAGTTGCCAAGACAAAATAACCGAACCAGCTACGCATTCCTACGATCGAAGCACAGAACCACATTCAACACAGGCGAGTAAAAAGACAAATCTACCATAGCCAACAGATGTCTTCACCAACCCTTCATCATCAGAACAGTCGAAACCATAACTCCCTATCATCGGGAGCAAGATCAGAGGCCAGAACAAGTCACAGCAAGCAACCCCAGTTAGTCAAAATCGGCAGCCATTCCGACCATAACCTACCAAATTTCTTCGAAAAGTAAGTCAATGCTGAGTCAAAGTACCCATCTGGATAACCTCATTTCCACAGCTCGCATTTCAGAGAGAACAGAAAAGGAACCACCATGCCTTCAACAGAGGAGTATGTTTTTGCTCGATAAAGAAAGAAAATAATCACAGCCATCTTCTGTCGTCGATTAGAAAAAGACACGTAATCTTGAATACATTGAAAAACCACCTTTCCATTAACTTCCTCTCTTTGATTCTTCATTAGGGGGAAGCACATCACCCCCTTCTTCCCTTCTGACACCTGGAGCGCGCATCCAAGAAAATCCTAGCATTGACCAATAGTAGTCTGCTCGAGAATGAGATTATCATCGTAGCACCGTCTAAATGTATCGATCAGGCCCAAAGCCTTAACGTAAGAATACTCGTCATCTTTCCTACACTTGACAAACACCGAGACATCGTCCACAAGTGGGAAACCCCGAAACAAACGTTGGTCAACCCCCAAGCTGGTCAAGAAGACAAATTCATTAAACGCGCAAAGTTAGCAAGTTAGCGCTGGACTCGAAGATTTCCCCATGGGTATCCCAATCTCCTGTCGTAGCAACTGATCGGAAGCCCAAACGAAAGTATGCTCAAGCTCGAATGAAATGAAATCAAAAATTTTCGCCAAAGAGAGACTCCTCCACCCAACCTCACACCGCCCGGTAAGCAACTTGGCTTTTTTTCCCTGCTTACGAATCCCAACAGCAGACACACCCTTCTCGTTTCAAAAGTCAATCACCCAGGATAACGCCTTCAAGATAGATTTATGTGGCAAGTTGGAGAACATCTCCTGAATGTCGAAGGAGGTACCTACCAAATAGTCTTTCTCAGTCAGTCCTCGATTCACAGACTTAATAACGGTCAGTAGACGATCAACACTTCTCAAATGAAAATTTGAGTCAACCGGCAAATTCCACAACATAGCGTTAACGGCGCGGGAAGCCACATGACCACCAGCTGCAGAACATTCAGAAAAAGACGGACAGATAGGCCGCCACCGGGAGATATCCTTATGCTTAGGTAAGCAATACGCCAAACCAAATTTCCCTAACTTCTTCCATTGACCAACACTCTGCAGCCCCTTTGCACCATATTTAATTCTGCAATCTTCCAAGACTGACTCCGCTTCATCATTGCATGGGAGAAAAGCCGGATTCTCGCCAAACTGCTTACGCATTCCCCTTTGATACAACGTAGGGCAACATACATAGGAATCACCCGGATTGTGGTCGATAGGGCAACAAACCAACCTGCGAAGAAGAGAAAGAAAGGTATCCAATTCGTCCTCACAGATAGTAGACTCAGGGATCACCTCGTTACCGGAATCCGTCAGACAACCACGAAGAAGATCGGGGGGAACAGAATCAGGAACAGGAAGGGAGGAGTGAGACTCAAAACCAGACAGATTCTGGGAGCGAAGAAGGGAGACTGAGCGAACACGAGACGGACAAACCACATTCCTGGAATTGCGAAACCAGGATGGAAAAACATCAGGCAAATCATTGATCCTACATGAGACATGTCCATCGATACATGGGAGCAACTCATGAGCATCAGCGCAAGGACAATTAGGGGAGCTAGATCTGGCAAAAAGTATGAAATTATGAATCAAATCACCAATACTTCGGTTGCGGCGCCACACAATGCGCAGTCGTCGAACAAGCATCCCCTTCCATCCCTCCCGAATACCCAGATTACTAACAAGGTGTGAGCACAACTTCCGCACATTTGCCTTGCAAATCCGATAGTCATACACAAGCTTAACGACTAACCTCTGCCTAATATGAAGTCCATACTCAAGCATTACATGCCGCGATAAGATACAACGTAGCCGAAAACGAGTCCTCTTCTTGCTAAAGGTACGAATAGCCGTGTATGCAGCAATGACCAAATCAAACTCCCACGCCCTCAGCTCCGCACGTTTGCTGGGGTTACTAAGAAGGATAATCAGTGGACCTTTAAGAGCGAGAGAACGACTGAGAAAGGGAATAACAGGATCGAAAGTCAACACGACACCGCCCTTCAGCCAACCTCGGGAATATCAAAGCTCCTGCTTCCCAAAACGACACTCGACCAGGCTTCCGCCATACAGTCGCTTCAAGACCTTCCATCGATCAACCAAATCATCCCCTCCTACGCAAGAAACCACAATACACTGAACACCTTTATCCTTGCAACGGTTCAGAATCTTAAGCAAGCTGACCGACTGAAAGCCATCGGCCACACAGAACGAACAGAGGGAGCAGCGAGATGGACCACCTTTAGACAATGCAACAGCATACTCCCCGGCCTTCCGTTTCTTCCTCAGCCTTTCCTTGAGACCAGCACGTTTCCTACGAAATCTCTTGGGTTTGTCTCGCACATTGAGGGCAGGGGAAAACAAACGAATAAAAAACTTCTCCGTTTCCAACAAATCATCCGCAGAACAGCGACATAAAGGTAGAATAGCATAAGTGTGCGCACCACACCTCCGAATCCACCGATAAAGTTTTTCATTACGTTTACCACCATCTATCACTTTCGATTGGCATGCTCTATAGACGTGCTCTCTCTACCGTGTATGGAGATCACGGGCAATACTACCTATATAGAAATGACGCGACCATGGAGACACAAGGGCATACACCAGAGGACCATCCCACTCATCAACCGTGTCAGAACCCCGGACCAACGGGAAGAACCCTAACAACTTATCGCCCCACGGAATCGCATTCAACGGAATCAAACTACAAATAGCAGTACTAAACAATAGATTAACATTCTTGTTACGCAGCCAATCAATCGAGACAGCACAAAGTCGACAACAAAAACGGACTACAAGCCACAAAAATGGTGCGTCCGGGGGTGATCCTAAGAAGTAGCAGAATCACGCCCGTCGCTCGGTTCAGAGTTGTCCCCTCCGTCATCAGTCACCTCAACCACAGTGTCATCCTTACCTTTCCCTTTACCATCGTCAAGATCGACTCCAACTGCCCTGTCGGCACGCCCTTGGGCAATCGCTTCCTTGGTGGGATCAAGCGTGGTGTATTCCACACCCTCTTTGTCGCAAATATCAATAACTTCCTCCTTACGTTTTCCACGTAACTCCTTTCCAGCAGCTCGTAAGAAAACATCCCTTTGCATGACATGGTCAACCACGTCAACAACAGTTTTTCCCTTCGTAGTAGGTACAACAGCTTCATCCATCTTCCTCCTAAGATCCGTACCCTTCGAACGCCTGCCGGTATTGAGTCTTGCCATCTCATTCTTCAGTCTATCAACCTCGTCCTCCGACTCCTTCCTGGCCTTGACTTCTCGAGCGCGCATCTCCTTAAGGAGCTCGACCTCACGTTGGTGTCTTTCTACGATGTCCTTCAGCTGGATATTTACCCTGCCACCAGAGCACGGTGGAACCACCGGGGTGATCCTTGCCCGAACCCGAGCATCACTGACAGGAGTGTGACCAATAGCCACGCTGCCACGTTTGTTGCCTGGGCGAAGAGCTTCATTCCTCCATACGTCAGCATTCGCCTCGGCCGCTTTGCATTGTTTTTGAAGAGCAAAGATGACTTCCTCCAAGGTAGCCAGATGCTTGTCCGTAGCAGCCTTCACATCAGCATGCTCCTTCCTAAGACGTGCAACCTCTTCGGCTTCGCAGGTGGTCTGGAAAACAGCAGCAGAAGTACTAGCAACGTCCTTACCATGTTTCAGTTTCTCGACTTCAGCTCGTAATTTAGTAACCTCATCACTATCCACCTCCTTGGACTCCTGAGCACCTCCCAAGTTATAGCAACGTTGTGTAAGTACTTCAACTTGTGCACGAAGCTTCCCCACCTGGACGCATGGCCTGTAGTAGGTTCGTACACCTAAAGATCGCCACATATAAATAATTTTCTCATTCCCTATTTTTTTCCTTCAGAAAACACATTCATCCAATTGCCCCATCCCTCTCCTTTCATTTTGCAAAGGACAACCAGTGCCTTCTCCCTTTTCCTTTTTCTACGCAAAGGACTGTGTAGCGTACCTATCGAGGAAAATGACTAACGCTACCGACAATTTTGTTAGCCTTTGTGAATACATCCTATCCATCCTCTTAGGGCAAGTAATTGCAACATTTCATGCTTTCTAGTCCCAAAGGACCAGGCGGAGAAGCTCTTGCTAGGCTCATTGGTATGCTCATGTCTCATGTGCCCCTCTTATTCGTGGAGGGATGGACACTCCATGCTTAAAAAAACATACCATAATCATTGTGACTTCATAATCGTAATTATCGTTATCATCATCATTACCATTGTGTTGCTATCGTTGATTATCATTAGCAACATACATACAACTGCCATTTCGTCAAAATGGATATTTTTTATTTTTTGAACGAAATTGAAACTGAGTTTTTACAACTTTTTTGGCCGAAAACTCAGTCTAAATTTGCTGCCCTTGAGGGTCCGGCGTTTTTAAAATGCTGGAACCCCTGTATGTATCTGGACCTAGCTTGAGACCAGATACATCCAGGCGGTGCCCCCTGGATGTATCTGGTCTCAATCTTAGTTGAAAAAAAAAGTTGTCCATTTTGGCATTTTGACAAAATGGTAGTTATATAATATTCCTTGGCTTAAAAAACATTGAGTGCAGATCCAAATTCAATAAATCCTCTCACCCAGGGGCCTCGTCCCACTAGCGAAGTATTCTACGATGTGTGACGCGCTTTTTTCCTTTTTTAATTGTTTTTTGACGTTTTGTAGACCAAAAAAAAAAAAAAGTGGGATTTCTTTTTATTTTTCTCGTGCACTTTCTCGTAACCGTCTCCCACGTTGGAGACCTGGTCGCCGTGTCAGACGCGATCTTCGGATATGCAGTAGCACAACGTAGCAAAATGAACCTGCTCCGCGACAGCAATAAATGTAGTTCGCACGTACGGGTAGATGCACCGCAGCGACTTGTTTTTGGTGCATGCGCTGTGTCGGGCGACGGGAGTGCAATAGGACCGGAAGAAATGTATATAAACCAAAAATTGAGAAGTCTCCACGTCACCCCCCCATCAAAGCAGTCGGTTAAAAAAAAACAAAAAAAAACAGAAGCTTTCGGTATGCACATTGTACAATAGCGGCCACTCTTTTCCCCAGAAAACGATGGCAGCCACGGGCTGGGCTGGCGATGGATGATCCTTGCAACAGCGGACAAACAGCGGACAAATGACCGCCACGTGTCATCTCAACGGTGGGGGACACGGGCTGGGCTGGCGATGGTAGACACGATGGTGACGTGGAACAATCGTTGCGGACAGGGTGACGTGCCATCTACCTTCAATCTACTCGGATGTTTCCATGTTGTAGCGGAAGATTCATACCGTTTTTGCTACATCCTATCAACGGTAGATGGCCTCTCTCTCTCTCTCTCTCTCTCTCTCTCTCTCTCTCTCTCTGTCTGTCTCTGAATATTTCCGGTGCGTTCGACCGATTGATTGGCCGGGACTGAAAGTTGATGATGAAACGTGTCGCATTCGATAGTGATGATGATGACACTTTTCTTCTCCTTCGATGATGATGATGATGATGATGACAGATGTCTATGGCTGTGGCGCTTTCCTGGCAGCAGATAACACGCACAATTATAACGGATGTCCATCGCAGACCTGTTTCACAGTCGGTTGTGGCGAAGCCAAAAACGTGCATTTTGCAGCTGTCCTTTTTTTTTTTCTTCTGTAAAACAGGGCGCACAACATCCACTGCCACGAATTGCGGAAAACGTACGCGTGCATTCTGCAGCTGTTCTATTTTTTTTTTTTTGTAAGACAGGGTGCGACACAACCACTGCCACGAATAGCGGACAATGTACGGGGACAGCTTTCGCGTCGTTGTTTGCAGATCCAAAGACACGTGTCGTCATCGTCAAAGACACGCACATCATCATCATCATCATCATCATCGTCATCATCATCATCATCATCATCATCATCGTCATCATCATCGTCATCATCCAAAGACACGGGTCATCATCATCATCATCATCATCACCATCATCATCGTTATCATCATCATCATCACCATCATCATCGTTATCATCATCATCATCACCATCATCATCATCACCATGTGTGCTGAGTGTCTGTCTCTCTCTCTCTCTCTCTCTCTCTCCGTGTGTGGAGTATCTGTCTCCCCAGTCCAGCCTATTCCACGAGCCGCGAACTTTACCACGTGTGCTGAAAGTGGCTGCCATGAGTATCAGCAGCTCTACTAATCCGAGTGCCATTCGCCGCTGTTTTCATATGCTTTCCTGCACGTTCCCGATCTCGAGCAACTACTTTAGCCGTGGTGGACGGTTCGATTCCGGCGACAGCAACCCACGCGAGAATCCAGAAGAAATGTTGTGGTTTTCGGGCAAGATCGACACATCCTCACGAGACGATCTTGGACTACGGCGCCACGTGGGAGGTGCGGGGTCCATCGATTGGTGATCCAATAGATTGTGCTAAATGCCACGTGGAAGGTAGGACGCAAACAGGAAGAGCACGAACAAATAGCAGAAACAAGAAAGGGACAGGGAATAGGAGGAGGAGGAGGACCAGATGAGGGATGGTGCCAGGAATGACCAGTGCCCAACCACAGGAAAGAACAGACTGGAGTACGAAGAAGAAGAAAAACGGAATCACCCTCCCCTCCATCTCCTTCCTCCTGGCTCAGATTTCCTCGTAACCGACGTTGTTCTTCTTCCCAGAGTTTCTGATATCCGAAATACGCGTTGAAATCGTCGGAATTCCAAGATACGTCGGAGCTTCGCGAGCTCGTCATTCTTTCATCCTACACACCCTAGGGGACAAGCTGTTCAGGGAAATCACCGTCCGCAAGTGCGTAAGAAAGACGCAAATGAGTCGCACTTCGCGCACTTGCGGGCGATCGTTAACCCGATCCTGTGGATATCAACTCCCGGCCTAGCGAAGGGCTAACCTCGTGCGACAGATAGGACACCAATTATGGGTCCGGGTGGTCCGGACGCGTGTAAGCCGCACTCCGTTCGGATCGTGCTTACATGCGTGCAGACGATACGTCAGGTCATGCTTGTCAGACGATCATTGTGAGACGACAGACATCCAATCGATCATGCCAGCATGCCATCTCCATTCTCATCCGATTTCAAAAGTCCGGGACGTCAATCAAAAACGAAGTGCAAGATGTGCGCGGGTTATTCATACATCATTTCGCGAAAAGAAAGTCCGAGAAAGAATTCAAAACGGAAAACATTGAGAGAAAACCAAGTCGAAACAAAAGACACAGAGGGCCGCAAAAGACAGGGGCGAGTCGCCCGTAATCGACACCAAAATTTATATACACAGATGAAAAAGGAACGAAAAGGAAAGATGCAAATCCATGCCCAACTCAACCTCAACTCTCTTTCTCTCTCACTCTCCGATGCTGACAGTCCGTCGTCGCGCACCAACCCACGGAGTCGTCACCCCGCTTAGTCCTCCTGCGCCCGTCAGGTTCGCTCCGCGCCCACAGTCCGTCGTGGCCCACGTCAACCCCGCGCATTCGGCACCAGCTCGTCAGGTCGCCCGACTCCCACTTCTCTCACCTCTTACTTTGCTCGTGTGCCGACCCTCTCGATTGCGCAACCCCGAGCTTCCAGCAACTGYTAAGAGAGCAAGTTAATCGCGCAGCCGAAATTTATAGCGTGCGTGCATGCGCGAAGAACACAGAATTACAAGGACGTAGATAGGTGGGGGAAAGGGAGTGCCTGCGTTTGCATGGTCGGGCCACGGCGTGGGGGACGTACCCACTCCACACATCGATCCGGACATGCAAACGCGGCTACTCAACGTAGGCAAGGGGGGGGGGGGAAGAAACGAGGCGGGAAGAAGAAGAAGCAAGAAACAGGAGGATATAGTTACAAAAGTTTGCGCCAAAAATTACAGTTGCGAAAAGGATTAAGGCGCCAATTAATCAAAGTTCCGGCGCAGCAGCAGGAAAGAGCACGCGAGCATGCAGAGAAGTGCCCCAAAAACACAGAAATTACAAAATTCCTAAATTCCTAGCTAGTCTGCCGAAAAGGTCCGAAACGAAAATCAAAATTCCGAAGGCCGTATGGCTCCGACCAAGATTCGAAAAGAAAATTCAGGAAAGAAATTCAAAAGAGACACCGAAATTCCCGCGCGATGTCTGCGCGCCCAAAAGTCCGACAAAACAAAATTAAAAGAAGGGAAACGAAAGAAAAGAAGAGACGTCAATGTTTATTAATCGCGCTCTCGGTGCGCACTCCGCATCCGACCAAGTCTTGCCCCCTTTTCCCCTGGTATTTCCGAATTGTCCCCAACTGTCATCAGGGGCTCGTGCGCAAACGAAGAAACAACGAAGAAAGCAAGGACACACATGCAATTTTCCATCAACCCGTCCAATCGACATGGGACCCCGCTTAGCACTTCGCGCCGAAAGTCGCGCATTACAGACGCTAGTTCGTCACACCATCGTAGAATACTTCACAAGTGGGACGAGGCCCCAGTACACGCCAAAAAAAACATTTTGTCGAAATAAAGATTTTCTTCTCATTGAGCTAAATTGAATTGCCTAGATGCAACCCCCCAGAATGCCCACAATTCACGTTTGAGTGTCCAACGTTTTTAAAGCGCTGGATCCTCGCCCTAAAAAAAAAGGAGCTCAATGTATCTCTACCAAGCTAGGTAGCATGGGTTATCTGACCATATAATCTGGTCGGACTATCTGGCCGGATTATCCAAAAATCGGGATAATTAAAAAAATGGCCAAAAAAAAAAAAAGGTGATATTGTGCATGCAAAATACAATAGACCTACGTTCCTATTTCATGAAAAGCTTGATAGGTGATCAGAGGGTTCAAAGAGGTTAAGATAGGGTATAAAGCGGTTTGGAGGGGGGATGCTTAATTCATTTTATGAATATTTATCTAAATATTGTTTTGTTTTTCTGCCGAGATGACACCAAACCAAAAGTTGTTGAGATGACACTAAGCCAAAAGTTGTTCGTATCTGCTGAGATGACACCAAGCCAAAAGTTGTTCGTATCGTTAATCTCTAAAACATCTAGGCTACCAGAGTGGTCCCGGACCAATTGCCCGGTCGGGCAAGAAAAAATAAAAATAAAAAATTGGGATAATTTACGCAATACCCTATAAGTTGAGATATATGCCAAAATGCCCCTAAAAGATTTGGGTAGAGCGGAATGCCCTTTTGGGCCTAATTCTTTGCGTTTCGCCCCTGTAAGGCCCATGTGCAAATTTGCAATCTGGACCTCGTCGTTGGGGCCTGAGCCTGCATCCTATTTTAGTACACGGTTTGCCCTCCATACCAGGTGGGCAACTTTGCGCAATACCCAGGCCCGTCTGTGAGGTTACCCATCTCCAGCTCCTCGTCTCTCTCTCTCTCTCTCTCTCTCTCTCTCTCTCTCTCTCTCTCTTTCACTCTCCGCCTTTCTCTCTCTCTGTCACACACACACACACATACACACACGCACACACGCACACAAACATGTGTTGCAGTGTATGTTTCCACGTTTTGGGGGCAGATTCATTCAATTTTGCTCATCCTCTATGTGTGTTATACTATATGCATAACACAATATGCTATGAACCCTGTAATAAAAACGGCCTGGTATGCTATCACGAATTAAATTCACAACAACCTGGAGAATCAGCATTCCTTTCCAATCATGCACAAAATGAATAAGCAATATTCACATGTTTTCGCTACCATTTATCATATTTATGATCACGATATAAGAGAAGGGATAAAAAGACAAAGAAAAGGGAAAAAGGGGGTGAAAAACAAAAGAAAACAATCATATGAGGCTCGGTTAAACATGGCAGTTAGCAGATGATGGATAAAACCTCCAAGTGCTCCCTTCTCAGCGTAAAATATATATACATGTCCGCCAAAAACGTTCCCCATGCGAAATGAACAGCTCCGGGATAGAACAAATCCCTGCATCTTCAAGCAACAACGATATCAGTGCCCATCATCACGATCCGATGCGATCGCAAAGAAGGGCATCCATAATGCTAGTGCAGGCTCGGCACAACCTTGAAAAACACTTCAACAACCAACTTACTCGCAATTTTAGGGAATCCCCTCCTCCATTAGCTTAGCAATGAATTGCCCGACCAGTTTTAGCAACTCGCCAACCAGAGCACCATTATTTGCCGCGCATATCCCTGAGTTGCTTCTAAAATTTGAAGCCGTCGAGCATCCCGTACCCCCTGTTCTCCCAACATCAAGAAAGACAAGAAAAGCCAAGAAAGCGAAGAAACTAATGCAGATGGTTATGCAAGAGACAATCATGCACAGAGCTACTTCTGATTCCATTAGTCCTACCGAAAAAAAGAAGGAAGGATACAAAGCTATTGCTCATGAATCCGTGAACAAAAAAGAAGACACAAAAAAGGGGGTAAGAAAAACAAATCGGGAAGGAGAGACCCCTTGCTTGCTCCGAAGCCTGCGGAGGAACTCGAGAGCCGATATTGCGCCGTACGCTCGTATCCTGAATCCCATAGGCATCCTCGTGATCATCTCACTCAGCATACTGTATTCCAAATAGCAACATCCACCCTTATCTAAGCAATCATACCCAACCGCCACGTTGACCAACATATCCACCGTAGACAATCAATCCGCCTTAAGCAGAAACACGCACACGCTCAAGGCGTCGACTAAGGAAGGAGAAAAATGCAGTTGTGCGCAGGGAGATAACGGAAGTAGAGGTGCGATTGACTACGCCACTCGAGGGCCACCTGGCGTCTCCGCCTTAAGTCAGGCACTCTCGTACAACCAGGGGAATGCAGAGGAGGTGGCGACTCCCTAAAGCGCTTTTCAGTGCCGCGCCACACGGCAAACCGTCAGAGGGTACCTGCAAACAACCAAAAATCAATCCACACACAGATCATACCACAGAGAACGAGACGGAGGGGTGGAACAATACCACTTTTTCATTTGGTTTCAGCAAACCCTCCAAGCCAAACGACAATTCCACATCCTCCATGGAGCTGCGTGTACTCCTTGAAAGAGTGTCGAGCCTTGAGTAGTTGCCTCAGCCTGCTACCTCTGCAACACGTAGCTTCCAAAATGCACATGAAGAGAAAAACACAAGAATGTGAGGTCTCCACCACTGATCACGCGGCAGACACGTGGGCAGTAGACAACGTATCCGCGAACAGAGCGAATGAGGAGGAATGCTACGTCAATGACTATTCATATAGTACACCCAAGAGCTGCTTCGAAGCCCGGCCGAAACATCACTACCGTAGATTAGACGACCCATCCCCGCCGGATGCATAGCAGTAAT